TGGCTAACAGGATTTATTAAGATATAAATTGAGGAAATACACTCACGAATACAGATTGGAGTAGACAGCTGAAGTTGTCCTCTGATCTGACCAGGAGTGAATCCACCTTGCAGGCAGGCGAGTAGGTAATTCTAAAGTAAGAAATGCCCAACCAAGTGTAGTGGCACATGTTTTTAATCCCAGCACCTAGGAGGCAAAATCAGGCAGATCTCTGTAAATTATAGGACAGCCTGGTCATGTAGTGAGTTTCAAAAGAGCCGGGTCTGCATACAGGGATCCTGTCTACAAACAAACAAACAAACAAACAAACAAACAAACAAACAAACAAACTGCCCAATAAAAGATTACTTTGCTAAAAATGTTCATTAAGTCTTAAGGATTTTCTGGAGTCTGTGGGGTCTTTAGAATCATGGCATCTGCAAACAGAAATTCTTCAGTGCCTTCCTTTTCCATTTGTATGCCTTTTCTTTATATTTTTGTTGCAACCACAACTCAGAGCATTATATTGAATTAAGAGCAGAGACAGTGGGTACCTTTATCTCATTCCTGATTTTAGAGGAAATGGTTTCATTTTTTCCCTCTGTTTATCAATATTATTAGTCATCATGATCTGGGTTTGAGTTGGTTTTTCTCTCTGTACCTGCAATAAAATTTGCATGGGTATAGGAATATTTTACCTAAAGTTAGAATAATGCAGACAATAGTCTGGTCTAAAGAAATGAAAGTATCAGATGAGTAAAGCAGCCTTTTAAATCAACTCAAAATCACACGCATGTAATAATACTCTTTAACTACACCAACCTCATTTCTCTGTGTCTACACTCTTGTGTTTTAAGAATTTTCTTTTGTGTGTACATGTGAGCTTTCACGTATCCAAAGTTCACTGCAAATTCAAGGCCAACCTGGTCTATATATGTTCCAGGCCAGCCAGGGCCATATACTAGACTGTGTCAACAAACAAATATTACAGAAGTCTTCTTAGTCATTTTTCTACTGCAGTGACAACACACCATGACTGATGCGACTTATAGAAGAAAGCATTTAATCTGGGGGTTATAGTTCAGAAGGTGAGTCCATAATCACCATGGTAGGGAGCTTGGCTGCAGGCAGGCCAGCATGATGCTGGAAAGGTAGCTTACAGTTTATATCTTGGTCTACAGGCATGAGACAGAGGGGTGGTTAGAGAGGGAGGGAGACAGACAGAGATAGATAACTAAAGAGAGTGAGCTAGCTAGCTAGCTAGCTGGGAGTGGCATAGGCTTTTAAAACCTCAAAGACCACCTCTAGTGACACCCCTACTTTTTAAAAAAAAAAAAAAGTTATTATTTACAGTGTTCTGTCTGCATGTATGTCTGCAGGCCAGAAGAGGGCACCAAGACCTCATAGATGTTGTGAGCCACCATGTGGCTGCTGGGAATTGAACTCAGGACCTCTAGAAGAGCAGCTAGTGCTCTTAACCTCTGAGCCATCTCTCCAGCCCTGTGACACTCCTCCTTTAACAAGGTCATACCTCCTAATCCTTCCCAAATAGTTCAACTGGGGACCAAGTATTCAAATGGAGGTGGCGGAGGTAGGGGTGGCGCTTATCATTCAGCCCATCTTCAGATAACAATATAGCTCATTTTCATTCCTCTTTCCAATACAATTGTCATCTCTTCATGTACCAGATTTGTTAGTGATGGGTAGAGACAAGAGGCCAGACTTGTGAGAACTCAGGATTCCATACTGTGCTGGTTAGTTTAAACTCAATTGAGCACAACCAAGAATCACCTAGAAACAATTTTAGTTAAGGAATTGTCTAGGTCATATAGGCCTGTGGGCATGTCTGTAGGATTGTCTTGTTAATTAATGTGGGAAGACCCAGCCTGTTGTGAGTGGCATCATTCCCTAGGCAGGGACTTATACTACATAAGGCAGGAGGAAGCTAGATGAGAGCAAGCAAGCAAATGTGGATGGATGCATGGATGGATGGATGGACAGATAAATAATAGGTAGATATCCATAGTTATATGATTTTTTTCCCTCTCTCTTTGCTCTGGACTGTGGATATATGACTAGATGCTTTAGTTCCTTCCTTGGCTTCCCCAAAATAATGGCCTGTGACCTAGAATTATAATTCAAATAAATTGTCTTCTCTCCCAAGTTGCTTTTGGTCCAAGTTATTTTTCCCAGCAACAAATGAACTAGGACACAACTTGGTACTGAGAGTGTGGAATCACTTGATGGGCCTGGCCGTGTGAAATTTATGCCTTGTTTTTGGAGACAGAATATAAAAGCATTTGGAATTTGGGGCTGGAGAAACTGTTGAATGCTGGAGGCAGAGTTAGGTGGGCTGTTCTTGTGAGAGTTTGCAAGATAGTAATGCTGAGAGAAATGGGTACTATGAGCAGCCTGGCTCATGAGGTTTCAGTAGGGAGCAAGAACTTTATCAAGAAGTGGGCCAGAGGCCAGTCATGTGATACTCCGGTTACCAATTTGTGTTATTTGATCATGCTGGAGCTGTGATTATAAGACATCAGTACCACTTAGGTATAACTTCCTGCGATTCATTGAGATAATAGGAATGTAGTTCCCCAGGATCAGATGTGATCCAAGGGGGCAAGGCTGATGAGATGGATCTTCACAGAACTTGGCAATGTGAGAATTGAAGGCATGAAAGGGTCATGGTGAGCAATTAAGGCTTGGCACCATGTGGCCAGAGTCCCCAAGAGGCCATTGCTGAAGGTAATCCTCAGTTACAGTAGAGAACCCAGGATATTGAAGATGCCAGGACTGTGGGATGTCTGCCAGGGAGAAAGAACTACAAATATAGAGTGGAGCCAACTTAAACCTAAGAGAGAAACTTCATGTGCTGTGGATGGCAGAGCTGGAGAGGTGGGGCTGCCTAAGCCCTTTGAGACTTAGAAATTACCATGAGTGAGTGTCAGATGTTGGACATTAGTCTATAGAATTTGGTATTGTCACTGCTGGGTTTGGGTTTTGTTTTGATATTATTATTCCTTGTGATGCCCTGATTCTTCCCTTTTGGAATAACTTTATAACTTGGGGAGATGGCTCAGCTGTTTTACCATAGTTCCCAAGTTTAATTCCCAGCACCAACATGGTTGGTTCACAATGTTCTTTAATTCCAGTCCAAAAAGACACCCTCTTCTGGCCTGTGAGGGTACTGCACAAATGTGGTGCATGCAGACAAAACACCCATACACATATATAAAAAAGAACGGAAGTTTATAACTTGTTGGTTGTTTTTTGTTGTTTGTTTGTTTTGGTATTGTTTTGTTTTTGAGACAGGGTCTTATGTAACCCTGGCTGACCTAGAACTCACAGAGATCTGCCTGCCTCTGCCTCTCATGTGCTAGATTAACGGTGTGTACCACCGTGGCCTGCCTGCATATTTATAGAAATGTCAAGGTGCACAGAACACTGGGTGGTCACTCCTTATTTATGTGTTCTTTTATGAGCCAGTAGAGTCTCTTCCAACCTAGGAGTGAGGTGTGTTGTGTTGTTTTTCTTCCTGGTCGGCTGCTGTACATCCTGGGGATTCAATTGACAGTTCCATCCTGTTGAGTTGTAGGGAACAAGTACCTCTTCTCTTTGGTGTTTTTAGGATTAAGCACTTTTTTTTTTCTTCTGAGATATGGTCTCATGTAGTTGAGGCTGGCCTTGAATTCCCTAAGTAGTTGAGGATCTTGAACCCTGTGACCTCTCAACTCTACCTTTCAGGTGCTAGAATTAGGGGCATGTGGCAACACACTTTGGTTTTAGATGCTCCCAAAATTTCCAATAAAAGGACCAGAATTGCAGGAGTGAGGAGACAAGAAAAACACAAGAGTTTTTCCATTGGAGGGATGGAAGGAGAAAGGCTAGATGCTAGTAGAGGTTCTGTCAAATGCTCTCATATACATGCTTCAGTTCCTGTCTGAAGCAGTGAGTGGACCTCCAACACCAGCCCAGACCACCAGCCACACCAAAAGGAAAGTCTGGGCAGCTACACAAGAAGGGAACACACAGGACTAGGAACAAAGGTACTGGTATCTGGTGCCTACCATATTGCCAAGGAAAGTGGGTTGTCTTTGGGATCCCACAGTGGATCGTTAAACTGATACAAAACACAGCTTTTACCTTGGGGTAAAAAATAAGTTTATTCTGATTCATATATGAGCTACTGTGGCCCAGGAAAAAATTCAAGGTGTCTGAAATGACATGTTTGCCCATGAAAGCGGCCACACATTCTATAGCCATAAAAGAGCCATAAATCAGCATATTCGTGTGGACATCATGTAGGTAGCTTACAATAAAGCAGGGGATATTGTGGCAGTAATGACAGCCCAAGGTCTGTGTAAACATTGACCACACCAGAGTGACATACAAGTTTCAATAAGGAACAGACAATGTGAACAGAAACACAGCAGGCAAATGAGAGAGAGAGGAAGAAGAGGAGAGAGAAGACAGAAGAGAGACTGAGGGCTGGGGAGATGGCTCAGTGGTTAAGAACACTGACTGCTCTTCCAGAGGACCCAGGTTCCATTCCCAACACCCACATGGCAGTTAGCAACTGTCATAACTCCAAGTTCTGACACTCTCAAACAGACATACATATAGGCAAAATAACAATGCACGTTGTTTGGGTTGGGCCTGGAGGTGCATGCTTTAATCCCAGTACTAGGTCAACCTGGTCTCTATAGCAAATTCCAGACCAGCCATGGAGGTAGTTAAATATTAAAATTCTATTCTCTCTTGAGATTGGCAACTTGGTACAGTGCCATCAGGAGTTAGTCTGTAATTGTTTAAATAAGGCATCACAATTACTGGGTTAGGCTACAAATTGTTTCTCTGTCTCCGCTGGTGTGTAACACCAGACTCAGCAGCTCTGCTGTGGGTTTTTGGTGCAAGCAGAGGATATTCTTTGTTTTTGGGTTTGTGGAAGCTATGATCTGCTTAGAACACATCCCAGTGGTTCTACCTGGTAGAATATGTTAGGTTAGATAGAGATGGTGTGACTGACTATCAAGGGGACTAAAGACAACCTAAGATAATTCTGGCTATGGATCTTCATCTTTGTTACATTGTTTTTGTTTTCTTTTTCCATTTGTTCCTGTATGTAGTGTGTGTGTGTGTGTGTGTGTGTGTGTGTGTGTGTCCCTGAGCACATGTGCATGTGTATGTTTTCATGTGTGAATGGGGGT